TGTATATGCACACTCTCTCTCATCCATAAGTATATAGTATGCAGATATATACCTACAACCACATGCCTTGCGGCACAGGTACTCGTCCGCATGTGATCGTACAAGAATTTGCAATTATTTCTTATTGAAGTCACAAAGTTGCATTTGCACTCGAGCAGGCTAATTCATCATCAAAGGAATAACCAAATTGGCCTCAACTGCTGCAGCTCGGAACCCCTTTTATTTCACTGCATTTCCGCTGCGCCTTCGAAGGTAGATATGTGCTTGTATTATAGCGAGTCATTCCTCTGCTTCTTCTTCTTTCTCATGTTCTTCTTACGCGATGCCTTGCAAATATGCAGGTATGTGGGTTCAAAAGGTGCGTGCCGCATGTACCGCATGTGGCGCAACTCTTTTTCCTGTTGCGCTTCTTTCATTTGCCATTAGCTGCACGGAGCACTTTCAGTTTGAAGGGTTTTGGATTTTGCCAAGTGTTCTTTTGGGTAAATTAGAAGTGCGTGGTTGATGAGTCATAGGGTTTTATCAGCTCTTTCGCAACATGAAATGCTTTGAGTTCAGCTGGAAGTACCTGATTCCAACGAAAATTTCGAAATAAGGCTGATACTAACAGAATTTAGTAATATTGCATAATCTTCGAATTTATGAGGAATTACATCATTCAGCATTACAAGAGCGAATGCTCTTCCATCGTAATCGAATAAAATACAGAGGAAAGGTACATATCAATGCCTCCTTTTTACTTGGAAATGTGGTTGGAAACACAATTTCGGCAATCAGCTAAGTTACTGAGCAGTGATAGAGATTTGGGCGACCTTTGGTTTGTCGCATTATATAAAACACATCATGCTTTTTTATTGTATTTATAATGGTGTTATCAATATTTTTCGCCATGGCAAATCCAAATAATTTCCACGATCGAGCCAAGAAGGCAGGAAAGTCTTAATGAACGCAGAGTGTTTTTGATCATTGAANCAAGTGTTCTTTTGGGTAAATTAGAAGTGCGTGGTTGATGAGTCATAGGGTTTTATCAGCTCTTTCGCAACATGAAATGCTTTGAGTTCAGTTGAAAGTACCTGATTCCAACGAAAATTTCGAAATAAGGCTGATACTAACAGAATTTAGTAATATTGCATAATCTTCGAATTTCTGAGGAATTACATCATTCAGCATTAAAAGAGTCAATGGACTTCCATCGTAATCGAATAAAATACAGAGGAAAGGTACATATCAATGCCTCCTTTTTACTTGAAAATGTGGTTGGAAACACAATTTCGACAATCAACTTATTTACTGGGGGGTGATAGAGATTTGGGCACCTTTGGTTTGTCGCATTATATAAAACACATCATGCTTTTTTATTGTATTTGTAATGGTATTATCAATATTCTCGGCCATGGCAAATCCAAATAATTTCCACGATCGAGCCAARAAGGCAGGAAAGTCTTAATGAACGCAGAGTGTTTTTGATCATTGAAATAAACTAATAATATAATAATGCTGAGGTACTCGAACGAACTCTAACTACCCTTACTTATCTGTGTAATGTACTATTTTAATCACATTTTATATCCTTGTATTTTTATTACATTTAAAAGTTTTTTTTTTAAACTATTACACTTTGAGGAAAAGGTCAGAAGCTCTACTCAGAACATACCATCATACCATTACTTAAGAAATCCTCAACTTTCTTTATTCATTCATTATTATGAATCCAGTTCATCGGGAACTAACAAAGATGTACAAAAAAAATCTTTTTTTTTTTTTGTGCGAACATGCTAATAAAATTCATATCCACCTCGATGCCTACGGATCAATAGATAAATCAAAACGGGACGACCTTAGATTCTTTGTAGCAGCAATGCTCCACTTTAGCCACTACACTGTTACCATATAGATTACATTTTATCATATATAGGACCTACGTGATGTTAAAATGGAATCAGGCACTCAAATTTAGTGAAAATGGGCTCTGTTTTGATTTTTGTTATGCAGATAATTCTATCCCATTTATAATTTGAACAAAATGTCGACCAAATGACCAACACGGCGCTGTTTATATATCTCCAACCCTTTGTGCCAATTTTGGATGACCCGGTGCAGCTGAATCTTGTTTTCGAGCGTTGATGGTTTATAGGCGTAAACCTTTGATTCAACAATAGTCTAAAGCCGTTGATCATACTATCTTGTCTTATTGTTGTTTTCTTGTTTGAAAAACTCCGTCAACACTATACTATAACGCTCGCTGTTGATGATAACGACATTTCGTGCCTCATTTCGAAATAAATAAGGCTCGATGATACCGCCATATCACAATCTGCACCAAACGGTCTATTTCTGGGTATGAAATTGGGTTTCCTTATTCCTGTGATGATTTTACTCATCCCAATAGCCAAAGCTTCATTTGTGGACGAAGCCATTAAGACAGAATTGGGCTTCACCTTAGAAGAGAGTTTCTGAGAAATTTGCACGAATGGTGCACATGAAGCATGACATGAAAAAATTGCTACTTACTGAAAAAAACTGACAAAATTTGGAAGAAATCCGTAAATAAACATGGCAGCCACGAGTAGTCCTTCTGATAGACGTTTTTCGTTTAAATACTATACGTATGAGTATAAAAATAGGAGAATCAGTTTTTTAGGCGGTGGTTAGCTTTACTATTTTCTAAAATGAACTCAAACGAGATGTATTATACGGGATATTTGTTAGCCTGATTGGATAATGGTACTTAGGTATATGCTAAAATAAATACCAGAGAACTTCTAAGGATATCAAACATGAAGAAGTAGTAGCGAGTGCGAGATAAGGATCGAACCCGTATTGGAATCAGTTTTCATTCATAACGTATTTATTCTCCTGACTATTTAAAAGAGTGGAATACATTTTTTTTGTTTGATAACCAGATCTTAAATTTACTTATTGAAACATTATAATATTTTTGTGGTTGTATTAGTGAAATTAATACGTACTTTTTGTTGCTACACAATATTGATTTTATATGATAGTGTTTGCCGAATTAAGGGCAAAACATTACCTAAATTAGTCATCCGCTGACAACTTGCAGTGTCCTTGTTCCAGTTTTGTTATTTGCAGCTGCATTTGGCGCC